TAAACAAGACTTTCTTTCCTCCTTGATGTCTGCCTCTGCTGTTTTAGTATGTGCTCTCAACCCATTCCTCAGATGTGTGGCAACAGATTGCCTGAACCTCTTTTTCTATAATTATGGAAGCGGTGTCCTGTCAATTGTCAGTGTTTTCAAAATTTCCATGTGGAGTAATTGCCAAGGGTAAGTATTATCATATTACAGCTCAAGAACATGTGTACTGACTTAGTTTGTTAGGGGCTGGAAGGGACCTTACAGATCATCAGGTCCAGCCCCCTGCTCTGGGCAGCAAAACAACTGGGGTTGAGTAACCCCAGCGAGGTGACTGTCCAGTCTCCTTTTGAAAATCTCCAGGGTAGGTGACTGCACCACCTCTGGATGGAGTTTATTCCACAGTCTGGACATCCTGACTGTGAAGGAGTTTTTCCTGGTATTAAACCTGAAGCAGCCCTCCAGGAGTTTGAATCCATTGGTCCTGGTCTTCCCCAGGGGTGCCCTTGTAAACAGTTGTTCACCAAGCTTCTGATGTACTCCTGATTTTAGTAGTAAGCCACTATCAAGTGCCCTCTTAACGTTCTGTTCTTTAGGTTAAAGAGGCCCAGGTCCCTCAGCCTTTTCTCATATGGCTTGCCTTGCAAGTCCCTGATCATACAGGTGGCTCTTTTCTGGACCCTCTCTCAAGTTTTTCCACATCCTTGTTGACATGCGGAGCCTAGAACTGGATGCAGTACTCTAGCTGCAGTGCAAAGTACAGCGAGTGTGTCACTTCCTTAGTTTTACATGAGGTGCATCGGTTGATGCATGTCAGCGTGTTGTGCCTTGTTGACTGCCACCTCACACTGATGGCTTATATTCATGCAGTGGTCAATCACTACCCCCAGGTCCCTTTCGGCCATGGTACAAGTCAGGCTGACATCACCAAGTCTGTATGTATGTTGAATGCCCCCAGATGGAGCACCTTACACTTGGAAATGTGCAAGGTCACAATTTAATAGCAAAAACTATTTTTGAGCATCCTTCCTTAAAAGATAGGGATCTAACTGCCTTTTTCCAGAGGGCAAGGTAGATTTTCTCTTCTTCAGCATCCACTGTTAAATAAACTGCCTTCCTTCTCTACATAATGTGGAGTATTCTAGTTTGTGGCAAAAACAACACCCAACTAAAGCCTTGTGTGCACAAGAAATGAGCAGTGAAAATGCATACTTTGGACCAGCTAGTTTTTCCTTCTAAAATACATGGACTTGAAAGTATCTAACGTCCCATAGCTAGCTAATGCAGCAGTTGATCCACAAAAACTTTCCAGTGCAGATAACCTCATTCCAAATGGCAGAAGTCCCTGTTCTGTACACTTAACAGCAGTCCTGAGTAGATAAAAACTGAAGAAATCTATTAGCCTGCCGGGTGGTCACCCATCAATTCCCATATAAAGGCAATAGACAGGCTCTTCTTCCATGTCTTCATAGAAGTATCCTTTGTTAGGAAGATGATGTAGGAAGTGGTCACAATTTGTCTGCTAGCTTAGCAGATGAGTTTCCTTCTCTCCCACCCTTTGGTTCTTTTCATGCTTACTAGTATTCAGAAGTTGGTAAGAAAAGGGTGGGGGGGAAGATGTAGGTGTGTATGTTGCGGCGGGGGGGGATGGGGAGAGTTGTGTAAAAGAAGATCTGTCCATCTCGATATAGATATAGGTATCTTTTCTTACCAACTTCTGAATACCAGAATGAGAAACTCTTACTTTTCAGTTGATCCCAATCTCCAGCAGCTCATGGAAGACCATTTCCTTCCATCTGTCCACCTATTCCAAGTTCTTCAGGAATCATTCTGGCTTCAGTGCATGTATCTAGACTTTAAACACACTTTCAAGTCTTGATTGTAGCTTCTAGTATGACTTTAGTGCTGAGGGTAGAAGAGTGAGGTCATATTCAGAATTGGTGTCTCTGGAATAGCTCCGCAGTGATCTGTTCTTCAGTGTTAAATATTTGGGTTGTAAATGAAAGGAAAATAATTAGTTACCCTTTTTTTTTTCTCTTCCCACAAAGGGTCTGAATGAACTGGCTGCTCAGAATTGAGCCCTCATTTCTATCAGAGAGAGAGGCTATTCCCCAGTTTTGACCTTTTATCCTTTGATCTTTTATTTTTTGTTTCCTTTGCCAATAATACCACATGCAATTCAACAGGAGAACTTTTGATCTGGACAGGTCCCTCTGAAGTTTGAGTATTGATTGCCATAGCTACTCAGAAATCCAACTATGCAGGTTCTGTCTATGGAAGCTTTGTGCTTCCCTATCTTCTCACCTGCATGTGTTGTTTGCAGTGTGTTTTGACCACTGGGAGAATTGGACAGTTTTTTTTGGATTTCTCTGGAGCCAGCTAGAAGGGTCTTCCAAAGATTGGGAAGTGTTGGTAGATAGTGTGGACTGCTGACTTATCCCGCACTGTTCCTGAAGGATTGAGCCTGACTGAGCAGTGTGTCCTAACTCTGGGACAAGTTCCTTCCCTCTCTTGACCACTTGCTCCTCTTTGGTGGGTTGATTGCATTGTAATTAGTAGCTTCTTGGTAAGAGGTGTTCCCTACTTGAACTGGAACCTGTTATAAATGAGTTCAAATACTTCCTTATATTGTGGGCTGCAGGTCTAAGAGTCCCATATTCCCACCTGTCACTTCAGCTTCACGCTCCTACATGTCACTTCAGAAACCCCTTATCCTTCATTCCAGAGCCTAGATTTGCAAATTAGGAGTGTGGGGCTCTCTTCTGCCCACCACATACTTTAGTTGCACATGCCAACTGTTGATGCCATTTGTTTTGTTAATGCTTTTATGACATATGGATGCCGGTATTCAGAATGACTTAACCCATGACCACTATCCTTTATTGACAAGTCTTTAATCGGGCAAACAAGTCTATGTCCATGTTACTATTTTAGTGAATTCCTCATACCGCTTGCTTCAAGATACAAAGATTTGTTTCCTATGCTTTAGAAATCCATTAAAATCTTTCCTTACTTGAAGGCTCTTGAATAATTTCTCCCTTTTTCCCCACACTTTCTTGTGGCAACTCATTTTACAAGGAAGTATGGTTTTTTGCTGGGACTTTTTTAGTAGAGCTGATTTACCTTCTTTCTTGTGGCAGATGTGCCAACTTTGTAGTTATACTGCCCAATTGGGTGTTTACTTAAAATAAGCTATTACAGAATTTCACTTCCTAGCATTTCATTAATGCACAGACCTGTCAGACAAGGGTCTCTGGATGATTTCCCCCTCTCTGAAAGGAAAAAAGTCATAGTAATCTTCTTGGGGCATTTGGTCATGAAACTGGTTCTTTGGCCTTGGAATTCCTTTTGGTTCTTCATCGCACGGCAGGCGGGGATGCAGACGTTTGTGTAGCAGGACTTTTCTCCAGTTCTATTCTCTAGCTTGAGACATCTTGCATTAGTATGGGAATGGAGGCAAAAATATATAGCATAAATCTCTTTTGAGGAACTGTTGTGCTTCCTGTTAGGAGTTTTGCTGTCATAAAGAACTAGAAAGTCCTTTTGGATTTCCAGAAGAAGCTTGCATATGCATTTCTGCCCCCTCTGTGTATTCAAGATACTTTATTTTTTCCTTCAGAAACAGGCCAAATGTAGTTACCTCCAAGTTTTACTTGAGCAGTTTGCATCTTTGATCTCAGGGAGGGTAGAGATATTTGAATGAGAACAGAAGTCAAAGGTTCTTCATTTTATTCAATGGATACCTACATACTAATCCATGAATTCTCAATTGGACCTACTGTTTTTCCAGGTACAGTTGGAGTCCTTTGGGATTTCTGCAGTCTTGGACATATTAGAGAATAATTTTGTTTGTGCTGTCAACTTGTGTAGTGGGGTCATTATGCCTGTTGACCTTCCCTTACTTCTCTTCTCCCTGAAACAGAGTAGTTCTGTGACTCAGACTTACTTTGGAGATAAGTGAATCTGGCTCTTTAATTAAACTATGTTGTTTTGAAATGGAGGAAGTGTCTCTTTTCTGGAATGTCAAGCAGGTCCTGAAGTTTTTTCCTGTGCTGCAGTGTTAGTTCTAGAAAAGCAACTGATCCATTCTCTTTGATGTGCTTAAGGAGCACTCAGGCCCCAGCTGATTACAGTCCTGTGGTCAAAATTACTATTCTCTCCTAGTTTGCTTATTTGTCAGCTGTTAAGTGCTCCTGGCACTGTGGTATAAAACCACCATCCAGAGCCCACTGCTTACTATGTCTTAATTGCTGCTGGTCAGGCTGGGAGAGGAGGGAATATGGAAAGAAAATTACTGACAGGTAATATCTGTCAAAGTACTCCTTTCTGTTACCTTACATCCCTCTGACTCTTCCTGTTGGATTGTCACTCAGATTTCAGAAGGCAAAAAATCAGAATTCTTAACTGGAAAAGAAGTGGGTGATTTGGTGCTTACTATTGGTCTTGACTGGCAGATCGTCTCCTTGTTTCTTGGTAGGTGGAGCCCTAAGTTTGCTGTTGCTGGGTAAGATGGGAGAAGACTGTAACATTTACCAGTGAGTAACTTTACCATGCAGATAAGTACCAATAACTCCAACACTGTTCAGAGCACTGATCCTCTACCAGCAATTAAAATTCTAGTTTTTATCTAGCTATCAATGATACTTTTTCTTCTTTCCTATCTCCATCCTCCCTACTTTTTAATTTGGTAGAGTGAAACATTCATTTTCAGGTTGTTTTTTTTTTTTTTTTTGTTTTGTTTTTTTAGATTGAGCTGACTGGAAACTGATCTGTGATTACCATAGATGCATTTAATTTGTTTTACTTGATTCTGGGTAGAGTTATTTCTTAACTCTTACATTTTTTAATGTAAATTTAGTGTATCAGTTTATTTGATTTCACCACTGGAATTGCTTTTAATCCAGACTACAGTATTTACACGAGTTAATTAATCAGTGCATTTACAGATGCCTAGTCTGTATATACTGTACTTTCTGTAAAGTTGCTTTTCTTTCCCCTTTTTTCTCTGCCAAAAGGATTCTGATACGCCACCTTGCACAACTCCTAATGTTTACCAGTTCAGTCTGCAAGCACCGACTCAACTTATGGCCGGTTTACCACCAGCATTGCCTATGCCAAATGGTAAACCTCAGTCTGCACCTACAAGAACCTTGATAATGGCCACCAGTAATCAGGTATGAGCCAACTAATTGGAGTAACTTTTTAATGAGGTAGTGTTGAAATTAAAAGTATAGATGGCTTGAATTATGCTATACTAATTTAAAGATCCCTCAAGGTGATGAGACCGTTTTTTTTAAAGATGTTTTCTTGGACTTGCTAAAGTTATGAACATGAATGTCTACCATCAAAACTGTTTAAAAAATCAACTTTTGAGAAGCATCATTGAACAAACATACAAGTCATCCTACTTAAAGATGTTTTGAATTCCATAAGAATAAAACTATAAAATTTAAGATGCCATGCTGCCTTTAATCGCTTTAAGCAGGTTTTGAGGTTCCTTGACACCTTAGGCCACTGTAGGTATCTCCCAATTTATTCAGGCTTGCCAGATTTCTGTTAAAAACTTAAACTTTTCTGCTATGTGCTACTTGATTCGTTTTAAGATTGATTTATAGGGTTTGAAGGCTTCCTTTCTGACTTTTTAGATTTTGCAAGAATTTGGGTTCACTAAATGCACTGATTTTAGACTTCGAAATTTTCTGCATATATCAATTTGGAATATAATTACAAAGTTGAATTTCTCAGGTCTTCCTTCAGGGTGTATTCCCTAAAACTCAGATAAGGATTCTACTCAAACTATTTGCATTAACTAAAGGCTTATAATGTGTAGGTGCCATATTTACAGGAAGGTAGTACATCCCCTGATCAGTCTACAGCAGGGGTGGGCAACCCCTGGCATAAGTGCCAGTGTGGGGCATGTGAAGGCACTTTGTTTGGCATGCGAGCCTCAGGGCAAATGGTGGGGAAGGGCCCAGGGCTGCGCCGCCACAAGGATGGGGCTGCTCCTGGCTCCTCTGCTGTCTGCCTCTGGCATGCCAACATCTTGCAGATTGAGGTTGCTGGCGTTTTTGGCACTCTGCCCAAAAACATTGTCAACCCCTGGTCTACAGTCTTAACTATAAAATGGGAAAATGCTAGAGGTGCGCTGATATATCGGATCGACACCAGTACAAGGAAAATTGACATTACTGGCAATTGGCTTTTTTTGGCCGGTCTAGCCAATAATGTCACTGATTAAATGCCATGTGCATGCGCTCAGCTGCAGTATGCACACTACCAGGAATGCAGCCCGGTGGCATGGAGACCTGCGTCTAGCTGGTAAGTCTGGGGGAGGGAAGGCCCCAGCCCCGCCCCCAACTTACTGGCTGGACGCTGATCGCTAGGCTGCATATTGGTTATCAGTTTTGTATCAGCTGATATGGCTGGTTAATAATCAACCATCAGTATGGGCCAAAAAAAATCCTTATCGGTGCACCCCTAGAAAATGTACGACATCTCATTGGGAGCCCTGATTGTTTAAAAGAAGGTGTTAGGCTTGTGCTTTAGGACAGGGAAGCCTTCCCCTTATCCCTGTCCCTTGTCTTCTCCCTACAATTGTGCTTATGAGCTGCTTGACATTTTATGGTTCAAGGTGATGTTACTTGGGTGTTTATGAATGAGGAGGTTGAGACTGTTGTAGAGCAGGTTGATGCGAACTGAAGGGGATATGGTAGTATTTTGAGGTTTTAGGAGATATTTGAGCTTTTAATACTAGTTTGTGTTAGACACCATGGCTTTGTCTGTCTTAAGGGGCTGCAGCTGCAATGTTTCTTCACTGCAGGATCAGAACTTTTCTGAGGGAGGGATATATGTGGCAGAAGGGGATCAATTTGGGTTGAGGACAATAACTGGATTCATCATGACCAAGGGTTTATGTAATAGAAAACTAAGGTTTGATGGGATCTCAGGAGGTCAGCTTGTCCCAGCCTCCTGCTTAAAGTAGAATAATCCCATTTATTAACCATCCCAGACAGATTTAGTCTCATTTGAACTTAACGTCATGGAGTGTAATAGCTCTTGTTCTGGTATATCTGGTTGATAGAGGATTAATTTTTTACTTGCGTACTTAGTTATGCTACAGCTTTATTTAGTCATTCAGTTACCATAGAAGGGTGACAGAATTTAGCAAAACTAGAGGATTTGGAGGAACCTAATATTCTGCAGTAGCAAGTTGACCAAATTCAAACTAAAATATTTCCTTCAATTGTGGGAGTCCTGAGGAGTCCACATGCTTAGTAGCACTGTCTGCTCCATAGAGAACTTTTCCACAGAGTTTGAATACTGGTTTGTAATACTGGTCTGTGTTGCATAGAGTTCATATACAAGAATATCTTTGGGTGGAAGTTGTTTATATCTTTTTTTTAAAGGAGATGCAGTATGCTAGTTTCCTCCCAAGTTTTTTTTGTAAGTTTTTTGCTTAGCAATCCTTTGGATATAACTCCTGGGAAGCCTGGGGTTCAGAGTCTTTTCTCTTTCCTGATCCAACCCAGCAGTTTGGGTGTCATGGAAGATTTATTCACTTAAGTTTCTTGTTGCAAGGGGATGTCCAAGTACAGTTGGTTGGCATTTATTTTGAGGAAAGCTTCCATCATTTTATCTTTCTACTAATAACCTTTATCTGTTCATGTATCCAGAGATTAGAGTGGTTACTATTTTGCAAATAGAAAAATGGAAGCATAGAGTGTCACAGACATTGAACCCTTAGGAAAAAATGTATGGTACAGTAGTAGAAAAAGGTGCCTGACTGTAATGTTTGGTGTTATTAGTATTGATTAATTGCATGCTATAGGGTGTGGGTGTTTTAATAGAATCTCTGCGTTGGGGTCTTTTGTAACATCTACTAGGCACTTCATTAAAATTTTTCACCCACTTTTTTTCAGATCAGGTCTCTTGTCCCTTTGGTGTTCCTACACTTCTGTGCAGAGAGCTTGCCATTTGAAGTGGCTCTGTGTTTGCAGCAGTTCACCACTTACTCATCCAGCACTGTTCCTCCCCCCCTTCCCTGCCTTGTGTCATGTGGCATATGCCTTTTGAGTTTTTGATTCAGCTCTTTCCTCAGGCTGTCCTCTATATTTGGTGTTGTACCTTATCTATATAAATGCAACTTTTCTGCTGGTGAATTTATCCTAGTGAGAGAGAGTAATATCTTGCTTTTCAATTTAAGGATATAAGTGATGATCTACACTGCTTATGTGATCTCTTCAAATCCCCAAGTAAATTTATACAAAATAGAGGAAGTCCATTTTTCGGGTAAACAATTTGATTTAAGTATCAGTTTACAATCTAAGTTGCTCTTTTCCTGAACTTTATTTTTTTATGAAGAAGGTAACCCTCTGCCATAAGAGTCAGATTTCCATGCAAGCAGCTAATACTGTAGAATCAACTCTTACATATCAGCCCATACTTCATAGTTTTCAAATACTTGAAGACGTAATGAAAAGATTAAAAAAGACAAAAAAAAAATCTTGTCAACATTTAGTTAGTTGGAGGTAGTTGCATTTGATTTTTCCATTGCTAGGCTATTGTAGTGGAGAGAGTCTTAGCTTTTTCCTTCAGTTTTAATACATATGAAATAACCAGTCAGTGCAATTTGTATGAATTATTTTATACTTTTCTTTGCCTTATGAAGGAGTTTGAGGGTGATTTGCCCTATTGTAGGGGTTGGCAGCCTTCTGTCACCTGCGGACTGCTGTTTGCAACCCATCCCCTCCATGGCCTGCACAACTGCACCTTCCCTGGAATCAGCAGATGCTGTAAAAGGAGTAGAGGGGAAAAAAGGCAGGCCCTAGGATCCTTTTGCTTGTGACCTGAGGACTATCAATAATATATAAAGGACTATATAGAATAACTTGAAAACTCAAAACATATGAAGGGAGAACTATTATTTCAATCAATTCCCATCTTTCAGCCTCTTGAATTCTAACATGTTGTGTGATCTTTGTGTGCTTGAGAGCGTCTGATATTCAATGCAGTAAAATTAAAAGAATTTGTCAGTGGGACAGAATTATCCCTCTTGATGAGGATTTTGAACCACCGTGCTTGAAGCCTCAAGTGTCAACAGTGGTGAGATATAAACGGTCTTTCTGAAGTTGAGCAGCATAATTACTGTATCTCTAAAGTCTGCCTTTGGGAAGACAGTCATAACCAAAGCATTGCTGTCAGCACAGTTGGGGATAGGTTTAACTAATGGCCTTTCACCTGCATTGGATCTACTCCTCCATGCAGAAGCATTCATAATGCTATAAGGAGTGAAATCCTTAACTGTGAAGCAGTTCCCTACTGGCAGGCTTGAACATATACCGTCAATCTCTCCCTCCCATGAAGACTTGGTCTTTTGTGTTCTGTGAGTCTTTGCTGTCCCTTAGAACATGATTCCCTTATTTTTTCTTTCCCTTGGCAGTTTTTTCCCTGTCTGTTGAGCTTGACCTCCATCTGGAATATAGAGGCTCTTCACTGAAGCTGTAGCCTAAATTCCCATCTCTTATCAGTGGATGAGCAGCTGCAGTGGGAAGAAAGGGCAACTGTTCCAATACTTAAAGGAACTTTCTATTTGGAATGCAGTGCAACCATTGGGTAGATTCTCTTGGCACCAGACATTTGTTTTTCTTCTACTATTTACTTCCTGTTGGGAAAACACTGGGGCAGTTACTCTTACAACAAGTGGCTTAGTTGCTTCCAGCTTTACTGTGCAGTGGATTCGGGAATATGTCGGGTGATCAGCAAGATTTGCTTTGGCTCCTGACAAGCCTACCTCCTTTTCAGGATCTTCGTTATCCTTCAACTTTGCTGGCAAACAGCTTGGAATCACTGCCCTTCTGCTCCCCACTGGAATCGGCATCAAGGCAAAAATCTGGCAAGCATATTCAGGTAAGGAGAGAGAAACTCCTTTGATGCTCCCACAAATACAACAGCACCCACTTTCCCAGCTCCTATACATTATTCTTTTCTCCCTAGGGTAAAGTATACTATTTTCCATGTATTTGTTTACTGGATCGATTGCTCACTGGCAACCCTGGACCAGTCACTAGGGACAATAGACTTCAGTTAAATCATACTTGCATGGCTCTCTAAAAACAAGAGGTCCCACCTATCTTTATGTCTTTAGACTTGGAGTATCCAAAAGGAAGCTGGTAAACTCAGGTGTCTAACTTCTACTGCATTCACTCCCAGTCTGTCTCAGTTTTCTAAGTGATAATAGATTTTAGGTGAGGGGAAGGGAGCCTCTCTGACCAACTATATTGATTGCTACCAGAAGGATTTTGGCTGTCCTTTCTGGGAGACCTGCTCTTTTCAAAAGAAAATTGAAGATTTTGTGTCTTAAGCTTAGCTCCAAAATCTGCTAATTGGACTGTATTTGTAATTGCAGTGTAATAAATATAAACTTTTCCTTCTAGAGCACCTCTGTGGCTTTAAGTGACCTGGATTATTCTGACTGTTTTATAGCCCACTGCTGTAAGTGGAGCTGTGACACTGTTAACTTTCCGTGGGATAGACTAGTGGCAGTGAATATTAGGATTGATGAAATAAAACCCATATTCCTTCAACATCTCAGTAGGGTCAGAAGCAGATGGAAATTGCTTTGATTGGTCTCTAATTCTTGAACCATTCTGTGGCCTTTGCCACACAACTATAGGGTTAGCGGGGACCTGGATGTTCATCTAATCAATTCCCCTGTATAGATGGGATGCATTTTTTTCTTAAAGCATCTCAGGCAGATGCCTGTTCAGCCTCTTTTAGAAATTTCCAGAAGAGCTTTCACACCTTGTGTAGGCAGCTTGTTTCACAGTCCTACTGCTCTTACAGTTTATGTTAAATCTCAGGCAAAATGTTCTAAATTTGCTTTGCTGTAGTTTATAACCAATGCCTTCAGTCTTGCCTGTCTCTGGGAGGGGCAGATGAAGGTTTCCATTATGAAAGCCTTTCAAATATTTGAAGCTATCATGTTCTCCCTCAATCTTTTCTCTAGACTAAATATATTCTTGCCACCTTCCCTACTACATTTTGCATTCCAATCCTTTTATCATCTTTTTGTCACTTGTCTTTAGATCTTTTCCAGTTTCTCTACATCCTTAAAATGTGGTGCTCAGAAATGGTCATAATACTATTACTGAGGCCTAATCAGTGCTGAATAGTGGTACTGTCACCTTTCATGCCTTTATTGCACTCTAGTTGAGGCAGCCCAAAATTGCATATGCACTTTTTTTGGCAAGTGTATCATGTTGCTGTGATCCAGAAAAACCTCCAGATTTTTTTAGCAGTGATGCTACATTTTGTGTGTTCAGCTGATTTTTTTTTTTTTTCTTAGATGTAGCAATTTACCTTGGCCTTTGGATTTTGCTTGGTCATTGATAGACCAGTTCTTTGTGATCAAAATCCTTTTGCATTCTAATCCTGTCCTCCAAAATGTTTGGAACTCCTAGCAGTTTTATCATCTTTGGATTTGGATCAGGAAGCGCTCTCTCCCTGCATCCAAGTCCTTAATAAAGTGAGCAGTCAGTCTTTCTCTTGCACATCTCTCTGGTGTAATTTTTTTTTCTAAGATTCCTCAGTCATAGGTTTGAACCAAAACAGCTAGCTTCTATGGTCATGCAGTTAAAATGGTTCTCTTCAAAAAGTTGACACCAGTTAAATGTCTTTGTTGAAACTGTCTTATGGGCATTTACACCAAATATCTTTGAACAGAATAAATATCCAGTGCTGAGGCCACACCAACCCTTAATGGTTCATTCTGGTCCAGTATGCAAGCATCCTAAGCTCTGATTGTGGGGGGAAAAAGTTTGGTTTAAAAAATACAACCCTCGGATGCTTTCTGCCTTTTTGTGAAATTTAAGCTTAGCATACTTATCCTTCTGGGATGAAATGCCTCTGAAGTATTTGCACTAGTCCATTTTTTTTTTTGATGTGTCTATACAGTTTCAGTCAAACACCTCATTCAGTGGTGACATTTGGGTGGTAGCCTAATACAAAGTAGTTGCTGGCCATATGTACGGTGTAGTGACCAGTCTTGTGGGAAGTTTCCCAAAATCTTAGTAATTTATACAGTGAAGACATCTTGTGTGTGTTAGGATAATACCACCTTTTCCTTGTCATAGTAATGTGACTGCATTGCAGTGAAACTGGATTTAACTGGTGTCACCTTTTTGAAGAGAAGGATTTTAAGTGGATGATCCTAGAAGCCAGTCTTTTTGATTCAAACCAATAAGACTCAACTTTTCTAGCTTCAAGGTACCCCTTAGACCAGTGTTTCTGGAACTCTAAAGCAGTGGTTCTCAACCTTTTTCATACCAGGACCCATTTGTAAACAGTGATGGCAAGTCTCAACCTGCTGCCCCCAGCCTCCCAGTGTGTGGGGCATGGGAGGGCCCCAGGCAGCCCCTCACAGGCTGGAACTCTGCCAGGCTACAAGGTAAAAGCCATGGTTTCCCATGTTTTTCTCCTTGAAAGGAGAATCCATTTTAGTTTGTTCAATTTTTTTAAGTTTGTTCATGACCCTTTCATGTATTTGTGTAACCAACTTTTGGGTTGTGACCCACAGGTTGAGAAACGCTGCTCTAAGGTGATCATTTGTACCAGGGGTTGTCAACTGGGGGTATGCATACCCATGTGGGTACTTGGGGAAGGCCCCAGGGGGTATGTGGCAGTGGTGCAGGGGGCGGGGCTGCCAGCACTTCTGGTTTTGCTCATTGATTGGCCACCGGGGGACTCCCCACTTTTCCACCAGCTGCCAGGGGTACACCGACCAAAAAAGGTTGAAAACCCTTGATCTGTGCTATCATTGATAAGCCCAGATCTTCCTCATCCTTTGCAGTCAGCCTTGCAAACTGTGAGGTCTCAGAAACGCTTCTTGCTCTCCTCACCAATAGGGGGTCCTGCAGACTTACAGACTATAGATAAAATTGACACCTTCTTGGACCCAGGATGATGAAGAAACTGTGTTAAAAGTCTGGGGGGGTTTCTTTGGGGGTTTTTTTGAGTTGCTTTGAATCAGTTGGGCATAAACCACTAGGTGTCCCAAAGATGTTCAGTCTCTGAGCGGCTGGAGAGGAAGAACTAAGAAGCAGGAAGTGCCCAGCATGCTTTATTTCCCTAGCAGGAGGATAAAGGGAGGTTCTGTATAGATATTGGCAAGACGGAAATGTTCTGAGCCCTCAGTCTAATAGTGTGGCACTCAAAAGTGAGAAATGTATGTGTGGACAATTACTTAAAGGAGAACAAATCTACCTGGTCACAAATTATCAGTGTGTCATCACATGCAGGTCTTAATGACCTAATCTGAAAAGCAGGGAGATGTATATTGCAATATAATCTGAACTAGCAGTTCAGAATCATTTAATTCAAGCCATTTTCTGTTGGTATTTATAAACTCTGTCATCTTTTGCTCTCAGTGGGAGTTAATGGACTCTTGATTTTTCTGTAGTTTCTGCAGCAATACTTTTTTTGTTGCCATTTTGTACTCTATCTGAAGTGTTCCCTCAAATTTCTGTTAACCTATTTTAGCTTTCTACTTATTATATATTTGTATTACCATATCTCTTCTAGTGATGTTTGAAAAATACAGAAAATGGGTTTTATGCATTTGATTCAGAGACTGTCCTGCAAATAGCTATATTTTCTACTTTTGCAGCTGTCTCTCCTTTATGTGTTCATATTGGTTTAATTCTGTAACTTAAGCTAATTTTGGAAACAGCATGTAGGAAAGCAGCTGAAAAGTCCTTTGTATTCTGAGCAATTGATTTTAAATGGATATTGTCACATAGTAGGCCATACATCTTAAGGATTCTGCAAGACTTGATTTCAGATCAGAGAGTCTAGTTTTCAATCAGGTCTTCCACTCAAGTCTCCCATACTGTGCCCACAATAAATTGCTTTGGCAGGGAGAGAGGGGGTGACATGCGACTGAATGGGGGTCGTTCACAGCAGGGGCAAAATTTGTTTGAAAACACGGAGGCCTGTTTTGAAGATCAAAACCTTAAATAGGCTTCTCTAAACTGATAAGATAAGGGAATATTCTTGATAACTTTGCTTCATAGTGTCTGTATTTAAACACTTAGGACTATTCTGCCTGCCACAATTTGCAAACTTTCTTGAAAGATTTTAAATTTTATAAAAGCATTTAGAGACTCATATACCTCTGTATCCAAGACCTTGAGGAGTACTTGCTTGTTTGAGTTTAATGTATCAAAGCACGGAGTTTGGTCTCCAGTCCTGCTTTGTTAGAGAGGCCTTAAGAACCTATAAATACTAGTCATGATATCAATTACAGTATCCCTGCAATGCCCAAGCTGGCGGCAATGAAGCCTCTGCCAGCAGTTACCTCACCATGTTGATGATGAGCACCTATTCTTACCGCAGCAAGGAGATATGGCATCTAGATGCTGTAGTGTAGTGACTTGGGATGTGTATCAGGAAGACACTGTGTTTTAATATCAGATAAGTAACTGCCAGTAAAATGACATATGAATCAAATTAATCACATTTAGTAAATACATCTATATGAATTCAATTTTACAAAGATAATACAGGATGGCTTTACAGAAGCTGAAGGGTTCTATGGGGACGTTGGCTTTGGAATTTGTTTTTACATTTGCAAAATAGCTAGGTCAAAGAACCATCCTGTTGCATGAGTGCCCAATTGAACTTGTACTAGTGTTTCAAATGAGGGGTCTAGCTTAAAGTACAGAAAGAACTTGGTACTTGACTGAAGCTGTTTTCTGATGATGAATAATATACTGAAGTGGGCATAATACTGTTTCAGCTGATTATAGTACTAAACTGAGTACTTCCCTTTGTATTTTAGCAGCACAATGGAATGAAGTTTTCCATGAAAGGAGCTCATAATCATAACCAAGGCAATGGCTACAATCCCGTGAGCAGTGGAGGCATGAGGCAGCCAGTGGGCAACAGAGGACACCACCAATATAACCGTAACATCTGGAGAAGAAAAAAACACAGAGAGAATTTGCCTATTAGTCTCAGCAGATAATGGCTAATGCCAGGATGATCTTCCCCTGTTTTACAGACTGAAGCTGAGTGAGTGACACTAGACTGGGGAATGGAGACCAGCAATCAGCACATCAGTTTGTGGGTGTTGCCGAATATCTGCAGCTGACTTTTTTGCATGTTTCTTCGTGTGGTGGTCAAGTCCATCTTAAAGAAGTAGTTGTGCTTATCTGTGAAGCCTTATTAAATGTGGAAGTTTGTTTTCTGCCTTCCATGGTTACTCATACAGTGCCGAAGCAGCTCTTATGTTAGAACTGCAAGGACTTTTATCAGTGCTGTAGCATTTTTGCTGTAGCTGCATCTGTTCCTTTTGTGGGGTTTTTTTTTTTTTGGTTTTGTTTTGTTCTTTGCTTTGAGAAGCAAAGGAAATTTCATTCCCTCACTTTTTTTTGCAGCAGATCTAGTTGGGATCTCATGATAAACAATTTTGCTGCCCTTGTTTTTATTTCAAATTTCAGAATTTTGCTCTGTAAATATTGAAAATATAATTTGTGCAATAATGCAAAATTTTTAATTTAATTTCATATTGTCACATAAGTTATATTTAAGGGGAGGAGGTATTTTTTTAATTTACAGATCCTTTCCCAGGTTGCATTATCTAAGTTGGGTTCATAGTTTTGGCAGGTTGTCCGAGCAGTGTTACAAACATGACATAATTTATGGTAGTATTTGAGGCTTCTTGATTCACAGTGAAAGTGCTGATTTGGCTTACGGTTTTATGAAGGTATTACGCTCCAAAGTGTTTTGACCCTATGTTTTTAGCTCATTGTCTGGCCTCTCTCAGTTGTCTTGTTCTAACTAATGAGTTTTAATTTATCATTTAACTAGACAACAAATCCAGCATTTAAAGTGCCAGAAGAATAGTTTTCTAAGGGTGAAAAGGATTGGTTAAGTCCTGGTATGAAATTGGAAAAATTGTGAACTACATGCTTCCGTCAGTTTTAATAATGTAACCTGTTAATGGTTGGGGCCGAACACCATTATTGAAATCACAGGTACCCAGCTTAACGAATGTGGAGAAAGGAAATATGTTGATTCCATTAAGGAATCTGTATAGCAGTATGCATTAGTTCTGTTAAGAGCAAAATATAAAAAGTACTTCAGCTGCTCTCAGCATTATAAGGAGTATCTTTTAATGTATTAACAGGAGAGCACAGCCCCATGCTGCACACAGTCTGCGTGGCTGGCACTTAATTTACAGATGCATACAGGTATACTATGCAAGTGTGTATTGCCATGACAACCACTGTCTTTGTTAACTTTTTTGAATAGAAAATGTACATCCTGCCTAACCCTGAGTTTTTAAAGCACCACAGTTGTCCTGGGAGTAGGTTAAATCTCACCATACCCTCTGGTTTCCCATTTTTAAATGAGGGTTCTTAACAGCGATATTCACTACAGGTTTGTTTGGGGGGGGGGGGGTTCCTTTTTCTTTTTCTTTTCTTGTTTTTTTTTTTTAATTTATTTATTTATTTTTTTTTTTTTGAAGTCCACTAGTGGGGAAAGCTAGAAAAAAATATTGCCATGACAGCTAGATTATGTACAGAAGTGGAAGATTTTAAAATTGATATCTGAATGTTATGATAAAATGGAGGCATCTAGCATGATGAAGCTTTATAGTATGCAGTATGCCTTTGAAGCAGGAATAGCCCAAACTGTTGTTTTACCTGTCTACTGCAAACAGATCTCTTTTATGGGTACAGGGAAGGAGATGACCTTTCAGAGTAGCACAGTTTTTTCTCTACAGTACTTGTTGGCTCAGATTTATACTTTTTAAAAATCATTAGCCTATTCATAAATCAATATTTAAGGGCTGGTACATAGGCCTGTACTGCTAATCTTAACACTAGCAATATTGCGCATAAACTTACATTAAGGAACCTTCAAAGGCTTTATTTGGCGTCTTAATCTAGTGTTCATTTTGAAGCAAAATTCATTCAAACAGAAACTGGTATCATGTTCCATTTTAGTCATGGTGAACCAGATAAATTGGCCTGGCTACCGCTGTGGTTATGTGCTACAGACTAAAACAAATCATGTTTAGATTTTTTTTTTTTGGTGTGGACAACTATGTGGAAGCTAAATTGACATATTTTTATGTAAAGTTTTTCTATTCTTTGATTTTTAATAAACTTTCGAGAGCAGTTGTTTTTCTATATATCTTCATGAGAAATCCAATGGAGAGCGTACTTCCGTCTTATCCTTGTAGCTGCAACTAAGTCAAGCATCCATTTCAAAGCATCTCCTATCAAACAATGTAGTAGAACACAGATTCTTCAACAGGTTCCTTTCCTTACCACCTGAAAAGATCTGGATTTTCTAACTAGCAGAAGGTATATCCAGCTGCAGCAAACAGCTGTGGGACTGCTAGAGTATAGAATACAGAAGCAGTGCCCTTTTAAGTAAAAGCCACAGCAAATAGATAAGGGACTCATCTTTAATTTGGCAACCCACTGTTAACTAAACAGCTTGTAAACCACTGGGATAGGAATGATCCAGGTTCTACTGTACTTCCACTCCCTTTTTAAATGGAGCAGTTGTCTTTCCTACTTCAGTTTTACTCAGCCTCACTGATATATTGACTTTGCTACACTACCACTTATTATTAAGGCAACTCTAAACATGGAAATCATGCTTGTGTCTCATCTTCCCTGATTTATGTACACATAAAACTATTGACAAAAAACCCCAAGACTATGCCTACCATAATTCATAAGCATCTGGAATATTGATAGTTTGAACATTTTTTTTTTTTATTGGCTTTCTGACATTTCACTATTCAGATTTTGTATGCTATTTACTAGATTCCCTAGGTGTAATTAAAAAAAAAAAAAAAAGTTCATAATGCAAAAAATCCAATAATTAGTGTATTAAAAATTATTGAGCCTACCTTACATATCTAGAAGAGCAAGATTACAACTCCAAGTACAGACCTAAAGATCTTATTGAACTTATACACTTCATCCTCGCACACAACTTCACTTTCAATAACCAACACTTCTTCAAGACCATGGGCACAACTATGGACTAATAAGCATCACCCCTCTGTCAGACTCTCTTGAATAGTCCAGCACCAACATTGCCTTTTTAGACACTACGGTCACTATCCACAATGGTAAAATACAAACCACCATATTCAAGAAGCCCACAGATCAACTACAACCATGGTCTAGCTTCTCTGCCCCCTATCAACTGCACCCTATGCTCCCCCCTCCCTGCACCAAGACACTGCAGGGTTCCCCAACCCTTTCTCTGCTTGCAGGTGCAATTGTGAATTCTGTAGGTTCCCTACTTAGGTGACTGAGGGTGTAGTTACACGTTTGACACATGCTAACTTCAGGGAATGTTATGTGGTGTTAAAATGAGCATGTGCTGTGAGCAGTTGCATGTTAAAGGTTAATACCCTCTCCATTGTGCACAGCTCCTCTGCTGCTAGAGGTTTGATCAGTTGGAGAGTGTGGGTTAGGAGTTACCAAATCTGCTCCTTGCCTGCCTGACTTGCCAGCTCTCTAGCAGCAGTATAGGCTCCAGGATCTGTTCTCTGCTGGGCCCTGTGGCTGGATGGCAATTTCATGGAGGGCAGGATGAGGGGGAGAGGATTGGAGGAGCAGGGGCATGGGTGGGTGGGTAGCTGCCAGGCTGCTGTGGGGTCTTGGTGGGGATGGCACAAGTAGAGCTGCTGGGCCCAACCGCAGCTGCCTGGCCTTTGCGTGCAGATTTTGCTTCCACTTTTGCTTGTAACTGGCAGGAATTCTTCTTACTGTATTTATCATGTATAATATGCACTAAAATTTCCAGCAGCTGTTTCTTGGGGGAAAAGTGCATGTCATACGCAAGAGAATGTGGTACTTGACAATCCTTCTGTACCATAGTTTCTCCTAAATTGCATTCAATTTGCAAAGTTCTAAGTAAAGAAGGGAAGTGCAGAGGAGACTGTGTGTATAAAGGTTGAAGTCAAACTTTTGAGAGAGTTGTTGCTAGCTGGAGCAATGTTTGCAGAGGCTGTCACTAACGTCTTGTAAATCTGAGACCAGTGCATTACCCATTTCTGTGCACAACTGAGTATTACCCCCCAATATGTTGCTAATTATCTTAAAATTATAATTGGCTGACTAGGTCCACAGTTTGTTTAGGATGTGATTAACAGTGTGGCTGCTATAAAAGCTTATTTGAGCTTTGGCAAATGAGTATCTGCACCTGCTCTGTTAGGGAAGCTCTTCATTAGTGATGTCTGAAGCTCTGCCATCTTTGTTATTACATGGCAGAAGTGAAAAGTATTGTCAGATTCTTAAAAAATGAACAAGCATTAGCAGATGCATTCAGGATCAGTAAGCACAGCACTCAATTCCATCCACACTCAGTAGACTTCATAATGCTCAATGGGCATCTTCTCTTAAATGTCTCAAAGTCCTTTAAGTAGGTATAAGCTACTTCAATGGGCTGCTGTTGAAGAAGAGACCAGGTGTTGAGTCTGTGTAATCTACACTGAACATGCTTGATGATGGTGTCTTAGATGCATAGCTTAAAATTCATTTCACAGCTTCAACCTGTGGCTCAGTCCATTAAGAATATGGAAAACAATAGTTCTACACTGGTGCCAAGAACAAGTTTCTAAGCATTCAGCATGAAGAATATATTGAACAAAGCCCATTTACAGAAGTTGAGAGGCAGTAGATAAGATAATATTAAGAAGATTGCTCCTGAAAACAGTTCTGGTGGAAATATCAAATTATAAAGCAGACAACAGCCCTTTCAGTCATCCCAGCAGCTAAATGAAAGGAATTTGTTTCTTCAACATGGAGAAAAGGATTGTATGCTGCAAATAGTCTTGCTACAGAGGTAAAAATTATTTTGACCTCCACTCCCTGGGAAGCTGCTGACCATGTATCGCAGTTTTAAGATGAGAGAAGAAAATAACAGAAGAAGGGGAAGAGGATATTGATTGACTTTTATCTGTATTGTTGCATTATCGAGCGATTTGAAGCTGATGAAGATGATGCAAAGCAAAATGCTTGAAGAATTGTCTTACTGCCAACCTAGCATAACAGCATTTATTTAATACTTGCTTTGAATTTGTTTTATTTCTCTTTGTTTTGTTTCATAACTGTTTAGTATTCAGTGTATTCTTATATAAGTAAATACTAAAGCAATTCTAATTTTTTAGAATTTAATTGTTTCTCATTTTTCTGAGATGAAAATTAAACCAATTAGTCTTTGTAATTAGGCATAAGTAATTTAATCTGAAGGCTTTAATGCCTCTCTTGTGAATGCTGCTGTTTAAAATATTTGATCTTCTTTTAAACATTAATTTACCAATAACTGATATAAAAAAATTGGTCATTTGAACATGTCAAATAGACCATCCTAATGTAAACAGTATCAAGGGTTAAGTAACATACCTTTTATTACAGTTTTTGTTTCTATTCTTTCAGGTTCATTAGTCAGACTAGTTGTGATTTATTGCAACAGATGATAAGAATTTACAAACACCTCTTTGCAGGTCTGATTAGTTTTTTTTTTTTTTTTTTTTTTTTTTTCTCCCCTCTCCCCCCCTCCTAGTTAGGGGGTGTATGGATAGAAAACAGGTACATTTTAAAAATGTGTATATATTGCTGTAACGTTGTACTGCAATTGGAATGGGCTGCTACGCAGTTATTACCCACATGTAGCAGCTTGGTGTGCTCTGAGTGTTGAGCCCCAGCTCAAGTCTGGGATCGTGCCCGGTATGCAAAGGCCAATAAAGATACCAGGGGTGAAAGTATAAAGAAGATTTATTGCTAGCAATAAAAGGTGCGAGCGGAATAATTTCACGTAACAAGCACACCAGATCACTACCACTAAGCCTCTTTTATACAGGAGTTTTCAAGTTCTCACCAGCGTATTTGTTTGCTGATTGGTTGTAAGGAGTGACGCAAGAAGTTCTTTACTGAGCATGTCTCTATACCTGTGTTTTAGCTATGTATCTCATTTACATACATGTATGTTTCATTAGCATACTTTTTCCCCACCTAGGAGCGTGATTTTTAGTATTTTAATGAGCTCTTTAACCCAGTACTCTGATTCTGCTTTTATTTTCAAGCCTCCTTTATCTAAGACTGTCTCCTCCTTATCATTGCAGATGGGCATTTGTCACAACATTCCGTTTGCTTGGTCTCTGCATGGTAATTTCTAGGTCACTCCTTACATTCCCCTCTCTGGAGCATTTTTAATTATTTTTATTATGATTGCTCCATTCAATTTGACTTAACACAAAACTAGTATCCTCAGCTTTCTTTGTTTGCAAAATCATTTGATTCACCTTAGGCCTGAAGATAGATATAAAAACAGGTATGCATTGGATACAGCAACAAACCATAATCCCTATAACACAAAATAAAACAACCATACTAAATAACT